GGTCAAAATTGGCCCCGCCCCAGGGGGTCATTGATTTTCCCTATATGCATATAGTAAAAACTTTAAAAATCTTCTTTTATAGAACCGAAAAAGCTAGAGCTAAGATATTTAGCATGAAACATCTTCTCATGAGTGTCCACCAAGTTTGTTCAAATAAAAGCCCTGGGGTCAAAATTGGCCCCGCCCCAGGGGGTCATTGATTTTCCCTATATGCATATAGTAAAAAATTAAAAAAATCTTCTTTTAAAGAACTCAAAGAGCTAGAGCTAAGATATTTAGCATGAAACATGTTCTAATGGGTGTCTACCAAGTTTGTTCAAATAAAAGCCCTGGGGTCAATATTGGCCCCGCCCCGGGGGTCATTGATTTCCTTATTTGTGTATAGCAAAAACTTAAAAAATCTTCTTTGAAAAAACCAAAATACGAGGGTTGATCAATAAATTCGTGGACACACTCCATAAATTGTTTTTTTTGGTGAAGGAAAGTTAATATAATTATATTTGACATTTATTCAATTATTTATCAATTTGATGTGTAAGTTTCAGATAAATAATCCATATATTTTATCCGAAATGACAGTTTTCAGAAATACATGTAAAGCTAATCGCCGCAGCTCATTTGCAACTTACGTTACGTCGTGACGTCGGCGTTACATCTTCTCAAAAACAATGCAGCACCAACTTCTACACATCGTTCATGCCTGTGTACCCACCGACTGAAAATGTTCTTATACAATGAAGTATCAAATGAACGCAACACAGACAATGCTATGGACTGCAAATCATGGAACCCGGTTAACTTGTGTCCCTTTAACTCTGTCTTCAATTTCACTCGCATAACTTTTGCATGGCAACAAGTTTAAATGGTCTGCCGCATCTCTTATCATCCTGAAGTTCTTCTCTATCCTCACAGAAGTGTATGTGTCACTTATAAACTAACGAATAAGACACCTTTTTGTTCCAGATACAATTTCCATGTTTTCTTTAGTTTGCTTTGGCGTCGTACCAAGATTTACACAGAACTTTATTACTGCCCTCTGCTCCAACAACGTCGTGCTCCTCTCTGGTGACACACCCCTGTCTCCATTAACATCTCGAAATAGTAGCGACGCTTGTTTTTTTAAATGTTCTATAAACGATATGAAGGAACGTTGCCGTCAATTTCATATTTTAAAGAAGCACGCCAAAATAAGGACAATTTTTAAGTATTTCAAAATGATAAATAATTTTTTTTTGAGCTGCGGCGTTCGTACGGTATAGGGTTGCTATGGCGATACATATAATGAACAAAATGAGATTTGTTTTTAAAAAATCACAATATATTTGAATAGTATTAAATTCTTCTCCTAAATAGCAAAAAATCTTTATAATATCTTGATTAATTATTAAGTTATTAAGAGTGTCCATGAATATATTGATCAACCCTCGTAGCTAGAGTTTAGATATTAAGCATGAAACATCTTCTAGTGAGTGTCTACAAAGTTTGTTCAAATAAAAGCCCTAGGGTCCAAATTTGCCCCGCCCCAGGGGTCATTGATTTTCCTTATATGTGTATAGCAAAAACTTAAAAATCTTCTTTGAAAAAACCCAAATAGCTACTGTTTAGATATTAAGCATGCAACATCTTCTTATAGGTGTCTACCAAGTTTGTTCAAATAAAAGCCCTGGGGTCAAAACTGGCCCCGCCCGAGGGGTGTCATTGTTTTTAACTATATGTGTATAGTAAAAACTTAAAAAAACTTCTTTTAAAAAACCCAATGAGTTAGAGCTTAGATGTTAAGCATGAAACATCTTCTTATAGGTGTCTAGTCTACCAAGTTTGTTCAAATAAAAGCCCTTGGGTTAAAATTAGCCCTGCCGGGGGGGGGGGGGCCATCATGGCCCTCTTGTTTTGTTTATTGACATTAACAGAGAGATAATTAGGTCACCATTCTATTTCGTCTACTTATAATTTCCGTCCGATTATTGAATTTACATGAGGCAAAAATGCTGAATTCCATTTATTGGCTAATGGTATATCAGTATGTGTTATATGTAAACTGAAAGAATGGGACATATTTTATATATCGATGGAAAAGTTGTTATTTGCCTTACAACTTCATCCAAAAATATTTGCAATAATATAATAAAGTAAAGATATTAATACTTGTTTAAATCAGGAAACCTATTTTGACCAATTCCAAAGCAAATATTTTTTATGACAGGATTACTATCAGAATGTACCCAAATGAAAACGTTTAAATAAAATGTTCTTTGATATTGAAATATATGAACGAGTATATTTAAGAAAGTGCGCGAACAACTTATTTGAGGTAAACATATTACTGTATAAGTGGTATTTTCTGCGGTGACTTTATTTCTGCGTTTTATAAACGATATATGTCCCACATGATGACCTGTTTCCTCTGAAGTAATAATGACTAACGGATTATAACTGTTAGCGGGTCATCGAGTTATTTAAAATTGCTTTCGGCTAAGCATGTAATATGTACTTGTAAGGATGTACCTATTGTTAATTATGCCAATTTATTAATAAAGATATTAAAACATCATAGTGTTTGCCTGTACGCTAAAAGGTTTGTTTACCACAAAATCATTAAAACCATTTTAACCCTTATACTGCTACATAATCGTTGTATACATTAATTGTTGTCTGATTTAAGATTAACTTCTATCAATTTTATTAAGTTAAAGATACTACCGGGGTTTATTTTTCACACGTCATTTCACGCTGGTCAAAAGATGCATACTGTCTACTGTTGCGCATTATATTTGTTTGCAAGCAAACAATAGTTGCAATAATTGTTTGCAAAAACTATATAATTTTGCGGTAACGATGATGAACACAATTTTAATGCGAATGTGTACATGCAAATAAAATAGGTAGAGTAATGTGACTTAGACTTTGATAAGATGAGCCGCAGAATTTAAATCACGTTTTGTCCAAAGAATGTGTCGCAGAAATAAAGTCCGCAGAAATAAAACATGCCAAAATTTGGAAAAAACGCAGAATTTGGAGCCCGCAGAAAAAACCACTTATACGGTATGAAGTTCAATAAAAATTGTTTATTTAAAATGCGCTGACTGCATATAAAATAGTCAGAAAGTTGTTAAAATACGCTATATTATTACTTCATAGCAAGTACATGTATGTACAGCGTAATAAATATACATTTTATCTCTGAAATCTGAATAATATTCCATTTTGTGTCGCATGTAGCTCAAAAAGAATTTGACCTAAAGTCCTGAAACTTTACAGGAATGTTGCTAAGCATGTGTAGTTGTGCAACTGGGTATTTTCGTGTGGATTTATGTAGTATTTGTAGAGTTATTGCCCTTGACTTGGTAAATCTTTGCAATTTTCAGCTTGTGTTGCAAGCTTGAGCTCAAAAAGTATTTGACCTGTAGTCATGAACCATTACAGGAATGTTTCTCAGCATATGTAGTTGTGCACCTGGAATTTCACTTGTGGATTTATTCTGTTTTGTCAGAGTTATTGCACTTGACTTAGTAAAAATTTGCAATTTTCAACTTGTGTTGCACATAGCTCCAAAAGTATTTAACCAAGGGTCATGAAACTTTACAGAAATGTTGTTTAGCATGTGAAGTTGTGCACCTAGGGTTTCGCTTGTGGATTTATTCTGTTTTGTCAGAGTTATAGCCCTTCACTTTCAACTTTTGTCGCACATAGCTCAAAAAGTATTTAACCAAGGGCCATGAAACTTTACAGAAATGTTGCTTAGCATGTGAAGTTGTACACCTAGGGTTTCGCTTGTGGATTTATTCTGTTTTGTCAGAGTTATTGTCGTTGTCTTTCAACTTCTGTCGCACATAGCTCAGAAAGTATTTAACCAAGGGTCATGAAACTTTACAGAAATGTTGCTTAGCATGTGAAGTTGTACACCTGGGGTTTCGCTTGTGGATTTATTCTGTTTTGTCAGAGTTATAGCCCTTCACTTTCAACTTCTGTCGCACATAGCTCAAAAAGTATTTAACCAAGGGTCATGAAACTTTACAGAAATGTTGCTTAGCATGTGAAGTTGTACACCTAGGGTTTCGCTTGTGGATTTATTCTGTTTTGTCAGAGTTATTGCCCTTGTCTTTCAACTTCTGTCGCACATAGCTCAGAAAGTATTTAACCAAGGGTCATGAAACTTTACAGAAATGTTGCTTAGCATGTGAAGTTGTACACCTGGGGTTTCGCTTGTGGATTTATTCTGTTTTGTCAGAGTTATTGCCCTTGACTTGCAATTTTCAACTTATGTAGCTCAAAAAGTATTTAACCTAGGGTCATGAAACTTTAAAGGAATGTTGATCATCATGTGTAGATGTGCACTTGGAGTTTAGCTTGTGGATTTATCCAGTATTTCTAGAGTTATTGCCCTTGACTTAATAATAACCGTTCCATTATGTTGTGTTATTTGTTCCTTGAATGCTTGAGTTAGAATCAACCAACTTTACAGGAATAATGATCAACATCACTGTGAAGCTATGCACCTGGGATTTTGCATGTGGATTTTTTTTTTAGTTTTGTTATTTACCTTGATTTAGTATAGATTTGCAATTTTCAACTTATTCATGCTCAAAAAGTACTTGACCTGTAGGCCTGAAAGTTTACAAGAATGTTGGTCAGCATGTTTACTTATGTGCCTTGGGGTTCGCTTGTGGATTTATTCAGTATTTTTAATGTTCTTGCCCTTTACTTAGTAACAGACTTTTAGTTTTCAACTTGTTGCACATGTAGCCCAAAAAATATTTGACCTAGAGTCATAAGATTGACAAAACAGTGAGTGCGTGGGCACCCATGTCTTATGTACAAATTTTTAGTTTTTCTTTGTTATTGTTAGATCAGAAGGCTGCACTGAAAATAAATATACATGTTCTCTTTTTGTGCACCTTCTCAAAATTAGTAAATAAAGATTTAATTTTTATAAGTCATATGTCTGCTTAGTATATATTAATGTTTAGAGACAGTATTTAAATATTGTTGTTTAATTTCAGGTACACCAAGAAATAAAAATGTCTAAGGTAATATCTGCCTCACCAAATTGGTACTGTAGCAAGGTCATAGACAGTAACTCTGCAGGAATCTTGGTGTTTGGTTCTCGACATGACGTTTACATTTACAGATGTGACCATTGTCCACCAAAGTTTCAATCTGTCTTTGTTGGACATAGAGAAAAACTGACAGCTCTAACATTGTGTGAGCATAACGATTATGTGAAGATGTGTTGCACTGGATCTGAAGATGGGAATGTCAAGCTATGGAATGTAGAGAACAGAGAAGTGAAATTGGAGCATTCTATACATACTGTAGGCAATGTTTTAAAAATGAGTCATGATTTTTAGCTTTCATTGGACTTTGTCCATTATTTTGAATCAAAAGAATTGTCATAATATTATAATATTTATGGTTAATTGATATCCCCTTACTTTCTTTTGTTGAAAATATTGTTATGCATATAGCGATTCACCTGTGTGTGTGAGCGTGTGTGTGTGTTCTATAGATGATATAGTGAACTTAAAAAATCTTCTCTGAATGAAACAGTAAGTTCAAATTCAACCGAACTTGGCAAGATGTTCCTTGGTTACTGTCTTCGACTTAACCCACTCGATCGACGACCGAGTCGAGTAAATTTGCGGGTGGTCAAGTGAAATTCCAAGCTGGTAGCCCGTCTAGTCGAGGGCTTTTTTTTGTATCCAATTCCAGAAAATGTCTCAAATATGCAGAGCTCCAGATAGCAATGTTTTGGCTTTATAAAAATTCAATATATTTCTGCTGAATTAGATGGAAAACTAAAAGTCAACAATGCTGTAAGTTGAAAACGAATGTAGCAGGAAGTGACATTGTGTACAAAGGGAAGGTAACTCTTGGCCGTTTCTGAAATGAAATTATTGATAAAATTAAATTTGGTGAAATCATTGTAGGACTTAACCTAATATTAATTTTTTATGCTCCCCGAAAAATTTCGGGGGAGCATATAGTCGGCGCCTTGTCCGTCTGTCCGTCTGTCCGTCCGTCTGTCCGTCTGTCCGTCCGTTGTCTTGTCCGGAGCATAACTTGAAAACCCTTGGAGATAATTTGTTGAAACTTCATACAGTGGTAGAGGGCATCGAGGGGGAGTGCAGTGTCAAAGAACCATAACTCTATTTTGCCCGGTTTTTGAATTATCTCCCCTTATAGAAAAATCTTGTCCGGGGCATAACTCTAAAACTATAAGAGATATCAACATGAAACTTTGTAGGTGAATAGATCTCAATGGGTAGATGTGCAGTGCATAAGAACAATAACTCTTTTCATCCTAATTTTGGAGTTATTGCCCTTTGTTAATTTTAATACTTTGAACTTTGTCCGGAACATAACTTGAAAACCCTTGGAGATAATTTGTTGAAACTTCATACAGTGGTAGAGGGCATTGAGGGGGGGGGGGGGGGTGCAGTGTCAAAGAACCATAACTCTATTTTGCCTGGTTTTTTGAATTATCTCCCCTTATAGAAAAATCTTGTCCGGGGCATAACTCTTAAACTATAAGAGATATCAACATGAAACTTTGTAGGTGAATAGATCTCAATGCGTAGATGTGCAGTGCATAAGAACAATAACTCTTTTTGTCCTAATTTTGGAGTTATTGCCCTTTGTTTATTTTAATACTTTGAACTTGAACTTTGTCCGGAACATAACTTGAAAACCCTTGGAGATAATTTGTTGAAACTTCATACAGTGGTAGAGGGCATCAAGGGGGAGTGCAGTGTCAAAGAACCATAACTCTATTTTGCCTGGTTTTTGAATTATCTCCCCTTATAGAAAAATCTTGTCCGGGGCATAACTCTAAAACTATAAGAGATATCAACATGAAACATTGTAGGTAGATAGATCTCATTGAGTAGAGGTGCAGTGCAAAAGAACCATAACTCTGTTAAGCCTTATTTTTGAATAATCTCCCCTTTTAGAAAAATCTTATCCAGGACATAGCTGTAAAACTATAAGAGATATCAACATGAAACTTTGTAGGTAGATAAATCTCAATGGGTAGATGTGCAGTGCACAAGAATCATAACTCTACCTTGCCTAATTCTGGAGTTATTGCCCTTTGTTTATTTTTACTTTTTGAATTGTCCAGGACATAACTCGGAAATCATAAGAGATATTATCAAGAAACTTTGTAGGTTGATAGATCACATTGATTAGAAGTGCAGTGCAAAGAACTGTAACTCTGCCTTGCCTAATTTTAGAATTATTGCACTTTGAACTTTTTCCACGGACATAACTCTGAAACTACAAGAGGTGTACTTTCCTGTGTCCAAAACCTATTCGGGGAGCATCACCCGGCTCAAACCGGGCTCTTGTTTAGACATATATTAGAATGTTTTTCGCTACAAAATAAAGAAAAATGTTGTACTTTCTGCCACTTTATTTATTGGAAAACATATTTCTCCCTTCATTTCTGCCTTGTCATCTGCAGTTTCGTACTCAATATTTTCGTACAAAGTTTACAGTTACAGACAATTTACTCAAAGACTAATACTTTTTGTATAAAAGTTTTAAATCTATTATATTTATTTTTATTTAATTCTTATTTCAATTATAATTAATCAAAAACAAAGAACAGGCACTAAAATGTAGAAGTAGACAATAAATGAAGCCTCATGCTAACCATAGCTGATTGTAAAAGAATGTGACACATTTAAACTACAACAACATGTCAGCACTTGTCATTATTTTGCTGTGTATCCTAAACAAACCCTGGTCTAGGGAAGCCTGCCTTAATAGAGCAAGTTTTGTTTTATTTCACATTGAATCAATATTTTATTATAAGTCAGTCTGATTTATGTAAAAAAAAAAAGGAACTTTTTTAGAAGGCAATGACATTTGATAATAAAACAATGCAAATTCTTTTTATAAATTTACCCCAGAATTTTCATTTTACTCTAGATTTTGACGGGTAAACCACCTTGGCCCTAAAAAATATTTGGAGCTCTATATGCACTTAAAACACTTATGAAATATTATTGATTGTTAGACATTTATTAGGCGTCATCTCAAGCTTCACAATATGTCTTTTTTCTTGTATTTGAAGGCCCTAAAACAAAATTATGATAAAACTAACACTAAAAGGTATTTAAATATGTTGGCAATGCATGTATCAGCCGACATGGTTACTATACATTGATGAGAAGGGTATGTTCAGTTTTTAAACAATTTTTTTCAGTGTCTAAAGACAATGCCACAGAAATATCAAAATATCTTCTTTTAATATGTAATTTAAACTTTTCTTTTTTGAATAATAAAAGGAAGAAAAGCTGATTTGTTAATATTTTAATAATGTTTAATGGTATATAAAAACATAGAAAGTGCTATTTCTGTACAATATATTAAGAAAAAATTGTAAGAAAAAATTGAAAAAAGACCCACAAGGCCTTGAGCTTAGATATTTTGCATAAGGCATTGGTTGTTGGACCTCTACCAAGATTGTTGAAATTATAGCCATGGGGTACAAATTGGCCCTGCCCCGAGGGTCATTGATTTTCATTACCTTCTTATCTGAAGGTATATATAGGTATATATATAATATCATCTATGTCCTGTACAAAAGATGTTCACATTTTGCACCAAGTGTAAAAATTGGTTCAGCCCGGGGGTCATAGTTTTCCTTATATGTATATAGTAAAAACATAAAAAATCTTCTTCTAAGAATTGACAAAGGCTAGAGGTTAGATATTTGGCAAGAATTGAAACTTCACACACTTATTTTCTGTGATTATCTAGCATAATGGCACAAGTCCCATAACTCTGATTTGCTTTTTTGCATAATTATGCCCCTTTTTCGACTTAGAAATTCTTGGTTAAGTTTTTTTTGTGTGTAAGCTGGTATCTCCATAACTACTGAAGGAAATGGATTGAAACTTCACACACTTGTTTTCTCTGTGATTATCTAACATGATTGGCACAAATCCCATAACTCTTATTTCCTTTTTTGCATAATTGTGCCCATTTTTAGCTCACCTGTCACAAAGTGACAGGGTGAGCTTTTGTGATCGCTTTTCGTCCGGCGTCCGTCCGTCCGTCGTCCGTAAACTTTTACTTTAAATGACATCTCCTCATAAACCACTAAGCCAATTATATCCAAACTTCACAGGAATGTTCCTTTGGTGGTCACCTTTAAAAATTGTTCAAAGAATTTAATTCCATGCAGAACTCTGGTTGCCATGGCAACCGAAAGAAAAAACTTTAAATATCTTCTTTTAAAAAACCATAAGAGGTAGAGCTTAGATATTTGGCATGAAACATCTTCTAGTGAGTGTCTACCAAGTTTGTTCAAATAAAAGCCCTGGCGTCAAAATTGGCCCCGCCCGGGGGGTCATTGATTTTCCCTATATGCATATAGTAAAAACTTAAAAAATCTTCTTTTAAAGAACTCAAAGAGCTATGGCTAAGATATTGAGCATCAAACATGTTCTAATAGGTGTCTACCAAGTTTGTTCAAATAAAAGCCCTGGGGTCAAAATTGATCCCGCCCCAGGGGGTCATTGATTTTCCCTGTATGCATATAGTAAAATCTTAAAAAATCTTCTTTTAAAGAACCAAAAGAGTTAGAGCTAAGATATTTAGCATGAAACATGTTCTAATAAGTGTCTACCAAGTTTGTTCAAATAAAAGCCCTGGGGTCAAAATTGGCCCCGCCCCGGGGGGTCATTGACTTTCCCTATATGCATATAGTAAAAACTTAAAAAATCTTCTTTTAAAGAACTCAAAGAGCTATGGCTAAGATATTTAGCATCAAACATGTTCTTATAGGTGTCTACCAAGTTTGTTCAATAAAAGCCCTGGGGTCAAAATTGGGCACCGCCCCCGGGGGTCATTGATTTTCCTTATATGTGTATAGCAAAAACTTAAAAAATCTTCTTTGAAAAACCCAAATAGCTAGAGTTAAGATATTAAGCATGAAACATCTTTTAGTGAGTGTCTACAAAGTTTGTTCAAATAAAAAAGACCTGGGGTCAAAATTGGCCCCGCCCCGGGGGTCATTGATTTTCTTTATATGTGTATAGCAAAAACTTAAAAAAATCTTCTTTGAAAAAACCCAAATAGCTAGAGTTTAGATATTAAGCATGAAACATCTTCTAGTAAGTGTCTACAAAGTTTGTTCAATAAAAGCCCTGGGCCCGGCCCCAGGGTTGTCATTGAAAATTTAACTATATTTGTATAGTAAAACCTTAAAAACAAATCTTCTTTTAAAAAGCCCAATGAGCTAGAGCTTAGATGTTTAGCATGAAACATCTTCTTATGGGTGTCTACCAAGTTTGTGCAAAAA